CGTCGTTTGGGAAAGAACGGAAAACGTTCGCCAGCTCAACAATGATTTCGAGATTCGTATCAACAAATGTCAAAATGTCTGGATTAGGTGTATGATGAGAGCAAACTAGCGGTACACCCGTAGAAACATCCAAATTTATGGTGGACAGACAGAAAACTTGGGGTAAAATATGTGAAAAGGTCAGGTGTAGTAATAAGTGTTTGCTTTGTTAGTTAAATATTCTTGAGAGAAAAAAGCAACCAACTGCAATTAAAGTTTTAAAATAGCCTCCTTTTGTTGTGATATGTGTGGCATTTCATGTAAATTAATTAGAAAGAGTCAGTGACAACCGAGGTCTCTTGGATGCAATGCATGTACCTTTATTTGCTAGCAATGAGTCACATCCCTGGTCCCCGTCCGCCTTCTAGTAAAGGCGAAAGCACTCGAGCGCTGAGCTGTCAGGGATCAGAACACATCCTCAGTGAAAACATGGGTCAAAAATCCATGTTCTCCCAGATTATCCATGAATACACAGACAAACACAAGGTACTCTCTATTAGCTGCACGATTTCATGAATAAATCGAACTCCGGTTAAAACCGGTCATTTTACGTGTATTTTAAGTGGTTGATTTTTTTCTAGAACCCCTCTGTTAAAACGGCTTTTCAGCAGAGATTGTCTCTACCGAGTGAATAGGAGCTCTATTGGATATTAATAAACCTTCTCAAATCACTGTGAATCAGGCAGCAGTTCAGAGAAGAATCTTTCTGAGAAGTCATCACTCGAGGAATGAGTAAATATGAGCTGTTTTCATTAAGGAAGGAGGAATGGCGCCATGTCCCCTCCAGCTGAGAGCTAATCACACTGTTGACTAGACACTCATCACAAAACGGTCAATTGTTATACCACTTGCCGGATGTGCACTGGTGATGATACCCTACGAAGACGAAACAGCTGTACAGTGCTCCTAGGCCAATCAGCATAAACTAGCTTCCCTGACAAGATGAAATCTTCATTGAATATGGACAGGACTGTCATCGTCCCTGTCAATCAGAATTCAACGAGTTTCATCAAAAGCGGAAGCAGAACACTGGTATTTAGCTCACTAAATGTGGCTATCCAAATCTGCAAGGATCCTACTTACACAAAAGAAATTAAACGAAACCAAGTCGATATTGAGGTATGCTCATAATACAGAAAATTGTTCGGCTGTTATGCGCTTGCCAAGATGTGAGCACAGAACAACGAGTATTCGGACTGATCGTATTTATAACTGTCAGAGTGCCAGTACCGACAGCAGGCAAATTTCATGCCGTCAGTGTGTCAAACTCAACACACAACTGTCGGAATTAGGTCACTAAAAGATCATGTGATGCACTTAAAAACGGATGGCAATCTGTTGACATTCTGTTAGCAATATTCCATCTAAGCTAATTTTAAGTTGTCCACACAGTGATTTGAGAGTTTAGTCATCAATTCCATCCCTGAGAATATAATTGATGGGCTACCTTCTTTTACTTTTGCAGATACATTTTTTGCTGAGTTTCTGTAAAATATTTTAACTACTTTTATTATACCTGAAATGTTTAAATAAAGGTATTTGTTTTGCGCCCCATCTGCAAGATAACCAAGCAACATTTGCGCTGAATAGGAATGTTAAACACCTTTTAGACTAAGTCCGTAAACCACGACGTAACCGCTAAATGTTTGATCTCAACGGGACCAAAATGTGCGGTGGTTTAACAAACATTGTTCTTCACCACTGTTTAAATGCAACATAAAGTGTTGTTCTTCAAGGCTATTCTTTAAATGTCTTTTGGAGCCCACAACTTTAAGTTACCAATCAATATTTATGCGTTTTCTTTGTCATTAAACACAAAATGGAAAACGGCGTTTGTTTTTTTTGGAAGTAATGAAAACGGGTATGTGTTATCTCCCTGAAATTATAAGAAAAACGGTTCTTGGAGTGAACCTCATGAAAACACAAATTTCTATCACGAATTCCAGATCGCTCATTTCACTTGCTTGTTTGTTTAATCCGATTACCTATTTTGTTTCTCGATGATGGGCGAGGATCAAATCAAATGCACATTATGAGAAACTTTGACTCGATTTTTACTATCACCAGGTTGCTTAGAAACATAAAACGATGCACAAAATCCTCAGTTTTCTTCAACTCGTCTATAGCAATATTGTCTTGGCATCACGCTTACGCTTGAAACCACAGATGTTTGTATCAACAGCGAAGTGAAAAAAAGCGATTGGGAACAATCTTCTGGTATTCATAACGCAGTTGTCTACGGAAAGCACGAAAACTTTAAACTCCGGCTGGCCACTTCAGAGAGTTTTTTGCTTGAACTATAACCATTTTAAGGATTTGCCTCTTCCGGGATCTTTATTCTTCAAAATGAGACAGAGTATAAATAACTGTTTTTGTTTGATGCTTTGAGCTTGAGATACAACAAGGATGAAGGTGTGAACTTACTGACCGGAAAATCCATGATTCAAACCCAAACCTCTGCATCTCCACAGCTCCTGTCCAGACTCAGGCATTCTGGCAGTATCTCAGCCCTCATGCTTCCTTCAGTTGGTTGTAGCACACAACAGGGTTTTACAGCTGAACGATTATCATCATTTATCGTTTTGTCCTGTCTTTGGCTTATCACGTGGCCGGAATCCTTATAGTCAGTTCATTTTTTTCTGCTCAAATGCTGAGCGTCTGCCGAACATAACATCTATTCAAAAATCAGTGCATTGTTGTCTAGAATTCCTAATGAATATTGCATTTACGATGGAATTTTACAGAGTTAGTTCCCAAAAAATGATTTATAAAACCGGCTACCGTCTGGGAAGTGAGGTCTGTAAGTGAAGTCATGCTCTGCTGTTCAGTTGTCTTGTTATTTTTTAGAATCATCTGCAGTGCGCACCTAACGAAGCCGTAGAAAGATGTTCGGGTACGTGTTTTTCTGGCTAGTGGTTTGATACTAAATCATTCGGCCACAGGTGGTTTAATCGGGGTGCAGAAGAACTCAATCGCCTTCCTGAAAGTGATTTCCAACCAAGATAAGATGACTATACATGTTTTATTGCCTTTTAAATGGTTGACTTTAACTCCAGGACGAAATACCATGGACCTGCTTGAATCGAGGGTCCTCTGCAGACTGGCCGGATGGATTGCAAGACATACTTACGGACACACCCGGTAAAAGGGGAGTCGCAAAACTTTTTTGATTTCTGAAGTGCGACAAAGCTTCAACAAATACACTCATTTGCTATTCAATTTGGTTTTTACGGGAGACTCAGCTGAACTCCTCCTTTATGAATAAACTAGACAATAGTATTTGTCGAAATCAGTCCAATTTGCGTTCAAGTAGAACATGAGGTTAACAGAAACTCGGGGACTGCGCCTTCCCAATAAGCCTCGAGAAGAGCAAAACCGGTAGCGAGCTGTCGAAGAGTTTTCAGCTAACTTGTGGGTAGTTTCCTTTATTAATAACACACCCTACCTTTAAGCTTTGAGTACTTATTCAGCAGACAGTACACTTGTTCATAAAAAACATCTGCACAACGGTTGAGGCTGAAAAAAACGCCCAACTGTGTGTATTTGTGTGGACTCAGTCAATGAGGATCACAGATTGAGGTTGTGTAAAATCTCACCATCCCCATGGAGATCGTCGAATGAAACTCAGTGACGAAAGTACTCAAGCATGATAATCGGGTTCATCACACTCTTTAACTCAAACTGTCGCCTCATCAGTAGCACCATATCAATGAAAACGCTCCGATACCTGTACTGGTGCCAACTCAAACATCGGTCTGAAAATTTTATGGACAAGAAATTAAGATTTTGACAAATCCTCTCACTTCAACTGAGTTTTCACCGAAGTATCTATTGAATCCCTCGTTTGTGATATTTCTCAACTGAATGTGTTGCTAAAAAGGCCGATATTTGGGATAGCCCCTTATATCCTCACATAAGAAAATACTCACAAGGTTACTGAAGAGTTTTCAGTAATCATGCGGGTGGCTTACGAAAGTAAGCTCAGGTTCACTTGATTCTCCGTCTAACATCATCATAGTTTGACAGTAAGCGCCAATGTGCATGTTTGTTTTGTTTTGTTTGTAATTACAAAATAAGAATGATGATATATGAGCGGAACTCTGTTCAGTACATTTAGATGAAGCTTGCTATAAACGATGGATTCAGTTGACATTTAACTGAATCTCCGTTAGAAGCAGGGTAATCTGCAAATGACTCCAGAAACGCACAGTGTGATCTCAAAGTCAAGAATAACACTGGTGAGAACTCGGGAATTACAACCAACTGATGAGATGTACCAAAGACAAGATTGGTAATATGTTAATTTATGCACATGTTGCTTTTATGCACACCAGCTTATTTGTCGGATCCTACAACGATAATCACTTCGCAAAAAGGCATCACATGACCCATCAAAACACATTAGAGAGATTAGTGCCAATCATGCAAAACCGATAATGGGCTGTTCGGAGAGTTAAAAACCCTCTGTCTCGCCAATAAATCTTTCTTCAATTTAAACAACTGTCTGTTCCGCATTTTATTGTAAAAAAAATTTTTCACTACTGAACATAAGGCGTGTGGTAGCATTTTTAGGCCAAATATTACAACACCCTACTGGACATATCCCTTAGTAGCATAGATCCCCACCGCAAACAAAAACACGGACGGTTACTAGGGGCTACCGTGTAACACTAAAACTTCGAAGAAGTGCCCCCAAAACGCAGATATTCGCATAGCCATCCCAAATATAATCAGTGCGTCCCATAAAGAAGTATTCATTTCCATCACAGTGTCCAACTCAGTGCTGCCTTCAAGGCAGGAAATACGAAGGCTAACAGGCGATAGATTCTCTGTCCAGACCAAAACATTTCGAACTACTCGGAAAATGTGTGAGTAGTAAGAAGATGTGAAGCAGATAACGAAGAGTGAAGTAGCATTGTTCTTAAATCATTCGGAAAGAAATAATTCAAGGATTCTGACAGACAACAAATTCATACCTCGAACGAATTTCCGTGCTCCAAATTCACCAGCACCTCTCTTCACAAATCGTAATTCCGATTCAACAGTTCAAAAATGTGGGAAATGTGAATCTTGTGAACGTAATCATCCCGGATGTTCATGCTTTCAAAGGCAAACGAAGTGTTTTATCTGCGGGAAAACAGGACACATTCAACTTTTCTGTAAGTCCAAGAAAGTGTCATTTGACTTCTGACCCAAATACTGACGTGAAGGCATTATCTGTAGATATTTCTACTCTTTCTCTAGCTGTTTTGTCTCAAAATTCGTCACATGTTTTTAAAACACTGATATCCGCTTCTGGTCAAAAGCATGACTTTATTGTTGATACTGGTAGTGTTGAGTCCATAATGTAATTTTTTTTAATTTCAACCTCGGGGCAATAAGTGGCACGTAGGTGTTCGAATTGGCATATATGCACAGCATATGGAATATTGAAACAAATGAGTGATGAATGGAGCAATGAATAGAGTATCAGTCATTTCCATCACAAGTTTCCTGTATTTTGTGCGTGCACGAAGCAATGTAGAATCCACTCACCAGGGCTGGTCTTGGCTTCGCATTCGTGACTTTACAACGGAACTAGGTTGTAGCTGCTCGTTTTGATGCTCAGTACCATCTTCTTTTTCCCAATCATTATCAGTCACATCGATGTACAAATTAGTTTTCTGAAATCCAACCGCTACCGCCCGCTTGTTTGCTTCGAGACTTTTGCTGAGTGACTGTTGTTGTGACCGCAGGTTGGCTTTATTTGACTAGTCATATAGCACTAAACGTGAACAAACACCTTAGGTACAAACACTGGACTAATGTATTGACACTTGTGGATTAATGTTTCGATCACTGGAGATCTGGAATACTAGGAAGATAGAAGTATTCTTGGTGTGGTGGTTTAACGGAATACGGAACTACGGAATCTCCTATTTTGAAATGTGCGTCAAGATTTTTCTCCTTGTGACTTTGTATCTGGCTTACATCAGTGATTTGTTCTGTTCACTAGAGACTCCATAGGGCCGTTAGCCACTACAAGGTGTTAGTTAGTTGATCTGTGTGGCAATGAAATTTCACCTTGCTTGTCACCTGCCTCCATAGATATTCCCACTTCTTGATACTCTGGTTTGATGGTTCAGCCTGGTCTGGTGTCCATATTGGAACTGCGCAACTAGTATCTTATAGATCGAAGGACCAAATGTGTTGTGGAGTATCCACTTCTTATCCGGTGTCTTCAGTTTCTGGGATATTCACTTTTTTAGATCTAGATTGCCTATTTCTTGACCTCCGTGCCACCTTTTTCGGCATTGTATTTCGGTTTCAAAATCGATTTTCTCCATGTAGTGGATTACATGTGGGTTTGTTTTGCATTGGGCTTGCTGTAAATTTAAATGTGCTGTCGACCCTTTGATGGACCATCGGTTCATTTGTTCGAGCTGAACATCCATTTTTTCCAAAAGGTACACTTCTGTTCGAGTTTAGCTGTACTGGAATGCATGTCATGCAACCATAAGAGGAAATCATACCAGCACTGTTTAAAGAAGGGAAAAGGTAGGAACTTGATGAAAAAACATGATATTCTTGGGAGTGGGGACCAAAAACGTGCTGATTGAGTAGCGTATCTTAGTAAGGCGCCATCAGTGGATTGGACCCGATAACTTTTCGTGGAACTTATCCAAAAAAACCCAGCAAACAACTTGGACAAACTGCAGATAGACAGTCCGGCTAGAGCGTGACAGTATCAGTATCACGGATCGGTCAAACGCAATTAGAGACGGGGCTTTGAACCACGTGCATCGATGGTCACGTCAACCCAAGCCAGAAAGCCGCGAAACCTCAACCGCTTCCAATCTGACTAAAGCGCTCGTTTTATGCCACGTGCTCCTCACATCTTCCTCCAGCATGGTTTCCCATCAAGAAGAGACTGGGCTTTACCGCGCTGTAGAGGTCTGTGAATCTTCGTAACCCACTGGGCTATACTAGAGAGTGCATATCTGAGCTCAAGGTAGCTCGCTGGTTAATGTACGAACATAAAAAATCGAAGGTCCGCGGTTCGAACCCAATTTAAGCATCTCGACTGCCCCTGTCTAGGCTTCGACACTCTTTAGCCACTTTGCTTCCTTCGAGTGCCAAGGCATTTGTGCACCGAAAGGGTGCTGCGGTCAAACCGTTATTTTATCATCACTATATGTAGTGTGGCCCAAACCTCGTATCAGGTTGGTCAACCGGAAGGGATCTGATCACCACGGTTTCCCAGGTTGGGGGTGAAGCCATGCATGGCAACTCCCTGCTAAAAAAGGTAGGGTGCTTATTGGCAGTCTTGCGCCAAACACCGCTTCCCGTGCGGTCACGCTATTAGATCAAAGGCTTTAATTGTGGACCCCAATCTGCCTCTTGTCTGAGACTGGGTGTCCTAGCCGCCAGCTTCGCTCACCAGCCTTCCTTTTCCTGCACACACCAGGGTAGGAAAGGGAAAACAGACTACAGCTGACGCTTTCCTTCTTGTTCCACTGACGCGCTCTTCACTCCTTCCTCGCCCTTTTTTTACTGACATCTCCGTAGGCTCATTCCCAAGGATTGACATATTCGTTCGTCGCCCAATGCGGCTAGCAGCAACATCCGCTCCATGGTCAGCATCCGTCGTCCTCCAAATCTCATTAGCTTAGCGGTTGGCTCAGTGATTAAGGCGGGATGCCTTAGTGGTTTATGCGCGGGTTTACCGAGTGGAAGGCCAGTGGCTCGAACTTTCCACAGTCAGATCTTACTGCATTTTACCGCAGTGTCGTGACAGTGCCCACAGAGTTAATAGCTGCGGTATCACTGGACATTCTGTACATCAATTTGTGGCTACAACAATCCTTGGAGATTGCTCCCA